TTTCTAATATTGTTTAGCGAACAACCTTTAAAGATCGTCAGAAAAGGTCGGAAAAAAATTAATTTTTTTTCTTATTTAGCTTAAATATTTTTCCGAACGCATCTAGGCGAATGAGAAAATAAAAATAAAATTTTAATGATGAACGTAAACAGTGTAATAATGCAACTAATAAATGATTTAAATTTATATAATTAAGGAAGGAATATATATATATATATATTTAATATATAACTATTAAAAACATATTTAATATATAACTATTAAAAACATATTTAATATATAACTATTAAAAACAATTAAAACCAAAGAAAAGATTACCATTAAATAAAATAGGTCGGGTTTTCATTGATTAAAAAGTAACGAATTAACGATAATTGAAAACAATTCTAATTTTAATTTCAATCATTTACGCAAGCACGGAATTTACGCGAGTACGCACGCGCGCAAATATTCGATTATATATGAATTCTTATAGGCTGTCCATACTAAGTGATGTTAATTATAAAATATAATTGTAAACCCAATTAAGTGTGTGAAATTAATATGCAATGTACGTAACACATATACTTTGCATGTGTTCATTGGGAATATTATGAAACAAAATGGACGGTGTGTACCACGTGACTTTCGTAAACCTCTTTATATATACGGCTCTGACTAAGTATATCCAGACCATAGAGATATAATAAGAATACTAGAGCGCTAACAGCAATGTATTCGATGTTCGAAATACGCAGAGCTGTGTGTGTGTACCATCCAAGATGGCTTCCATAGATTCAGCCAATCAAATTTCGCCTGAGCACTATCATTTTCAAAGGCGCCCTCAATTTACACAGAAAGTTCAGTACAACTAGTTACCCATATTTTGAAATTCGAGCGTTGCGATGTATGGGTGTAATGTACACGATTTTAATTCTTTTTAATATTTGAATAAGATGCTCTAATTCGCCTCCCGTACGGCGATTTTTTTTCCGTACGAAACATTTGCATGAAACTTCACTCGGGCCATCTCGGATTGACTCGACTAAGTTCGATAAGAGGAACAAGAGCAGAAACTTCGCAATGTCGTGACGCCGAGTTTTACTATTATTGCTCTTTGTATGTTTACCTACGGTAGGCCTATGATATCTTACGGATTTATGGGATGTACGTGTGTAACTAACTGTGACCTTCTTGGGATGTTATTAAATGTTAGTATAATATCTACAACAACAACAGCTAGTACCCCCTTTTATAAAGTGTAGGTAGGTACAGTAATTATACCAAAGGCTAGAGAGAAAGAGGATAAACTATGGGCCTAACTACAGGCTAAGTTAATTGTCCTACCTAGTATTATAGGCCTAGGGTCCTAGACTGACACCAACAGTCACGCTTTACATACAGACGTTGATTGAAATTTTGGGGAAAAAAATGGAAAAAAATTAAAGCATAAAATAAAAAATAGAGTGCATAAGAGAAATATTATTAAATAAATAAAATATACCATTCGGCGGCGTTATTAAACTTCGCCAAATTAACCTTGTAATGTAATTAATGTTAAATAATAAATAATGATAATAATAATAATAATAATAATAATAATAATAATAATAATAATAATAAAAATAATAATAATTTCAGCATTAATTACCTTGACCTAAGCCTTAATGAAGAACCATACTATTTACTAGGCCTATAAATAATAACTAGCCCAGGGGGAATATCTTTTGTGTCATTTCCCTTAACGTCGATTTTTTAATTGTTCTCTAATTCCTCCATTGTCTAAGTTCCCCTTAAAGTAGGCCTACAGGTTGGTTTTAGTAACATAATAAATTAATACTAATTAATAATAATAATAATAATAATAATAATAATAATAATAATTTCAGCATTAATTACCTTGACCTAAGCCTTGTAATGAAGAACCATTTACTAGGCCTATAATTAGTCCTAATAACTAGCCCAGGGGGAATAATAATTAATAATAATTAATAATAATAATAATAATAATAATAATAATAATAAAATAAATAATAATAATAATAAAAAAATAAATAATCATCTATATTCGGCATTTCGGTAATCAAGAATCTGCAGATTATTATGCCTGATATTAATAACTAGGCTTAGGCCTCATTTATACATTCATTGGTGCTCTGCCATTTTGGCAGGTCTTATGGCATCCAGTATTTTAGAGCTGCCTCTTCTCAGCTCTTCTCTTAATTTGAAAATAACTGTCACCCTGTTCATTTGATGAAACGCCCCGAGAAACGCGCTTTTCCTTACTCTCTGTGCTTTCCCCAGATTTTTTTTGTAGTTAGGCATAGGTAATTATGCAAAACCCAGACCTAACTAAAAAATAAAAATTGCCACAGTATGTAACTCAAGTTAAAATAACACTTTTTATTACTCGTGCAGCTCAATCAAATATTATATGTCATTTTAGACGACCCATTAGTATTAGCATGGTAACATCAATGTATTTTTAAAAACTAGAAATTGCAAATTGCAAGTGAAGTGCTGCGAAGTACAACTGCATATAAATGTTCTTCGAACAAAATTATTTATGCGAGTCAAGTGAAAATAATGAACAATAAAAATATAACAAATAATATAAGACACGACCCATTGTCTATATTAGAACAGCGTTGGTACCGTGGGATACCAATGCGGATGTCAGTTCGAGCGGATGCCGGTTCGGGCGGATGCATTTAGTGCGAACTATAACAAGGGCGAAGTTATCGTCGCCGTATTCATGTATTTGTTTGTTTTAAATGAAAAAAAAAAGGTTCTGAAAGGTTTTTTGTACTTTTTGATAATTACTCCATGTTTGAATCACAGCCTTGGCAACTCCGACTACCAAGATGGCAGCATAAAACTATAATAGAATTGCGCACTTTTCATCTTAAAAAAGAAGAAAGTGTATGTATTACCAGGTGTTACTAAAGTGCACGAGAAGGCACACACACACACACAAGACGAGTGACCATTATTTTTTTCACGGTAAACAAAGTGAGGTGGCTAGCCACCCTATTCACCACCCCTCACTCCCCCTTCCCCATCTTCTTCCGCTCAAACTAGCCTCCGCTCGAAAAAAATTCCGCTCGAATTGGCCTTCGCTCGAAGTGGTATCCGCTCGAATTGACTGGTTCTCGTACCGGATATGCCAGTCTGCAACAAACGTCGCCTAATCTAAATGTAATAATTAGCACGCTGAAATAGGCTAGTAAATAAGTTTAACTGGGTTCGTAAATAATATTAGCCTCAAAATATTGTGGTTGAGACATGGGCCGATTAAACGTAGAAATAGGAAACCTAGAAATATAGTAAAAACGCTGAATAGTAATACACCAGCGTCGCGACATGCGACGTTGGTACGAGTAGGTTAGTCTACAAACGTCGCCTAAAGTAATTGATTTTACCCGGCAGAACGAAACTCCGATTTTCAGTCGTCTTAGGCACCTGTTTTTTGACAAACAATGACCTTTCAGAGGTCAAATTGCTGTCAAGAATATGAATTGGACAATTAGACAGCGACGTTCTCTCAGATCATAAGTTGTTGATGACCTTTTGACCTGAATTCTGCAATATAAGATTTTCGGGTCGATTCAGTCGAGACGGCCCGTGTGGAGTTTCATGTAAATGTTTCGTACGGGAAAAAAATCGCCTCCCGTACAAGGACACACGTTCCATCTCTCACCTCTTCTCTTGAAGAACCACGAGAAGAGGGAGAGTAGGTTAAACCCACATTGGGAGCAGCAGTAGCGATGTCAGCCAAGGGAGTTCCCATAGTTTCTTATCATTGATCTTTTGTTCTTTTAATACTGTTTATTTAGATTGCTTATTTCCGCAGACCTGTACTTCCTTTGTACAACATTCTTTGTTGTTTTAGGACCGCCCACATTATTACAGTAATTGTATATTATAGTTTGTTTCTTATCCAATTTGTACAGTCTCCTGATAAAGTCCACTGTGTGGACGAAAGCTAGACAATAAATTATATATTGTTGGTCTCAAAAGTGCTGCTGCTATTTACTTTATATTGTTCTATATTGTACAGACTAACGCGGCTATACTTTTTATTCATTAAGTTTTATTATGTAATGCATTAATTAGGTAAGATCAATTGCAACGCAAGTCACAAATAAACAATCCTGAACCCATGTTTATAGCAATTAACAGTCAATTAAGAATGTTATGTGCACTTCGTTGAGTTTTGCTTACAGTACTTGAATGGACTGAAATATACTTTGTTACTTCTTAATTTTTCCTCTATGACAAAACTATTTAACTTTCTTTGTAAAAATAAAATACCCAAGGATTTGAACGGAATACCCAAGAACCCAAGACCAAGTTAAAATACCCAAGATCTTGGGTAAATACCCAGCAGTGGTCACGCTGCTTGCAATGTTTACATTTGCCTTTCTGAAACGTTACCGGCGCTGTCAGAAAGGCCAATGTAAACATTGGAAGGGGTCTATTAGATAGGCCTACTCAAGAATACAGGTATTGAATTTTACGGTACAAGAATAAAAGAGTCTGTTGGCTCTCAGGATAGATAACTTGACGTAGTTTGTAATTCTTGTTCTTTATTTCACTGTTATTGTTTTACCCACTGCAGGATCGAAGCTCGGAGAGGTTAAGAACGTTACAATTTATTGAAATTACTTATAATTCAATATAATAAAATAAAACATTTCATTTCTTTTTAAGTTTTAGAAAGGAATATTTTATTTATTTTATTTTATGTCAACAATCTTTAATGAGGGTGGTCCATCCAGCCGAAGCTGATCATATAATAGACACCCTTGAATAAAAATTGTTCATTTTTTAAAGCATTCAGAATAATTATAGAATATAAAAAGGAACTAATTTGTTTAAGCAAATTGGCTGATTGATTAAAACAATACATGGTTTTGGGTATTTTAACAAGCTTTTGTTTTTGTTTTTTTTTTTAATTATTACAGTATTTGCTTGAAAAGGAAGTTATTTATTTGTATTATAGTTTCTTACACGTAATTTGTTTAGATTCCTCCGATCCTTGACGTGAACAGACTTAGTGAAGCGTGCAGCCACTGCTACGGTCTAATAATTGTTATATCAATAGCGCCCATACAGTAGTGACATTTTTGTAGTCTTTTGCTGCAGAATTGAAAGGCCGAATAATGGGTGTACAGTACATAGACTCAATTCGTCGCAACAAATGTCTTGTCTAGATCAGCTAAAATGCTGGATAAACTCGTAACTTTGACGCTTGTGGTACTATCTATGAGGTACTGTATAGTTTTGTATTTGAGAATGTGTTTGTAAGAAGTTAGTAGAACTGTTACTCCTCTATTTCAGTACGTACAGATACATGTTGTTTACATTGGTTTCTCCACTGCAAAACCAGCTTGTCTGTCATAACGTACTGAACCGTTCATAATATGGAAATTTTAAATCCTAAATGCAACAATACGTTTTTCTCAAAGTAGGCCTAACTGTTATTAAAACAATAGTTGCATACGAATGTTTTAATGTAATGTTGTACAATGAGGTTTAGTGCGTATTAAGAGAATTGGTATGCAACAATTCTTTAACATGAGTCATGAATGTAAATGATTAACTAACTTAAACAGATCTGTCAAAGCCCAAAGTTGTCTGGAAACGCCATGTTACAATGGAGGTGATTGTGTTGACGCAATGTGCGTGTGCCCAATAGGATTCCACAAACCGTTATGTCAAGGTAGGTATATGATGTGATTGCATTTTATACTACGCCATTAAACAACGCGTTAGAAAAAAAAAAGCTAAGAATCGCCAATAGTTTGTGTTTTAATATCACTAGCTTTTGTATTTATAATAAAAATTGATAGTATTTTTTCTGGGTAAATTCCAATTGCTGAAATAATACTGAACAAACACCACAACAAAACATAGATCAATCTGGATCATGCAATGCGGCCCTTTGATGTAAAGGAGAGTCCAGAACGCCTACTGCTGCATTGTGGTGCTTTACAATTTTGTTCCGTATTTCCACAAATAATCAGCTAAGCTTATAAAAGTGAATTATGAGTGAATTGTGTATTTTTAATAATCGTAATTGAATATAGAATGTATGTTGTATTTTATATATTGCTATATTGTTATTGTTTTATTGCACGAGCTGCATTAATAAAGTGTTTATCGTATCTTGCGATTTATTTTTGTATTATTTACTTGGAGAGATTGATTGATGATTGATTAATTGATTTCGATTATTTTATTGATTAATTTATTCCAATTATTTGATTGATTAATTGATTCCGATTAGTTGATTGATTAATCGAACGGATATTTGTTGATTGATTGATTGATGATAGATCGATGGATTGATGATTGATTGATAGATTGATTCAGTGAGCCATTTGTTGGTTGATTTATTTATGCGTCATTTAATATAAATATTTACACAGAAAAAATAGCTCAGCACAAATAAAACTTCTTTAATGATAAATTTGTCACATAGCATTTATATCTATGAAATTTCTGTTTATACTTTGATGTTGATAATATGAATTAGGTCTATATGAGATGTTAACTTAATGCCTATAAATATAAAATAAATATGTAGAACCGTCATTATAATAAGCTCTACAATTTACATAGCCTTTTATTACTATTGTTTTTATTACTATTGTTTTTATTACTGTTGTTTTTTTTTATTATTGATTTGATGTTTTTTTTATATTGTTATCATTTTTTATTATTAGTTTTTTATCAAAGCTTACTCACTGTGTATTAAGAATTGTATATAACATGTCCATAGAAAATGTTATACAAAAACAATTTTGTATACATTGATATTGTTACATGAAAATAAGCGGTATGCAACATCATTGTACATAGCGTTCGAGCACAGAGTGCTGTTCCTTTAAAAATTGTAGCATGTAATATAAATCGAAGTAAAGTTACCTGTTTTGGGTCGTTTGTTGTTAGTTTTAGCTTTCACTGTCATCACGACAGCTTCTTTTAGCGAGCTGGTTAGTCCTTACTATACATGTGAAAGTATTACAATCCTTCATAGATAATTGACACATTTAACTTGACCGTTGATGCTTGATGTTTTACACTATTTTTCGCTTGATTAGAGTGTTCTTCAATCACAAACTGTGACGTAAAAAATTGCACCAACGAAAGAGACCAAGTGTGTTTAAAATGTGAAGGAGATTACGGGCGTGATGGTGCTGCTTATTTACCGAGTCCAGATGCCACAGTATGCATCGGTAAGTCGTCAGTTTCTAATCCTGGTTTCCATAAATTGCCACACGCAGACACCGACAGATTTAGCCGACAGTACTCTACTTCATTCAACTTAGGACCAAAATTATAGTGTTTTTTTTTTTATTAATGCAGATAGGTTTTGTGGTTTCCATAAAATCGCTACACGCAAACGCCAACAGTAATCGCATCTACTTCATTCAACTTAGGGCCTAAATGATAGTGTTTTTTTTTTATTAATGCAGATAGGTTTCATACAAACATGAACAAAATATGTAATGGATCCTACACGATACTCCTAGATTTATTTAAGCCTGACGCACACAAGTGCTAGTTCTTTCTCCGCCATCTGTCATGTACCTTAATGATTAAAATCTGATCATCTTCTAAAATGCAGAATACTCAAATGCACAAGTTAAATGCAAATACATTAGGATGGGAAATTTTTATATTTAAAAAAAATATTTGAAAAATAATATTAAATTTCTAAACTTCTACATACGAATTATTTGGTATAATTTTTTAAAAATTATGCAAACTGGTAACATTTTATTTTATATTATTAGAGCAATGCTCCTGGAGAGATGGGAAGGCTTGTTTTCCTGGGACATGTGATGAGGTTGGTTCATGTTCTTGCTATAATGGATTCAGAGGTAATACCTGTCTAGGTGAGTTTCTCATAGTATAACTTTCTAAAACACTCTATATATTTTCGGAGACGAATAATAACAGTGACCATCTACGTTAGAGAGCGTACCCCAATTTAGTACAGATACTATAATAATTAATGATATCATAATTCAATTTATTAACATTTAATAATTGATTGCCTTATTTTGCTAATTATGTCGTGAAAGTGAAAAAAATGTTAAAAAAACAATTTAAAACAGACAATGATATAAACCATATGATTGGTTGTACATATGTCCTGATCGTTGTCATTATTATTCTTGTATAATTGAACCTATGAGAACGTATATTTACAATCTGTGACACAATCAACCTTAATTCCCCACTTTGTAAATGCTGGCTACGCCACACACATTGCCCAAAAGCAAATTTGATCGTACCCAGTAGGTGTTATGTAATGTATCCTTGGTTTGTTTATTTTCAGAAACATACTTGCAACCAGACCTATACGATTTTGTAGGTTTTCTGACGGATGGGCAACGTAACATTACAACTTTAAGCGACGCACAACACATAACCTTCACTAATGAGCATTTCCCGAAACAGTTCACCATCTCTTGGACAAGCGAATTTCGTAGACCAATTGTAGATTTACCTCCCTATGTTCTGCGATGGTATTTTGGCATTGCAAGTGTTGAAGCCCAAATTGTTCTTGGATCAGGTAGAGTTTTCCCAGTCAACTCAGAGTGTGTAACTTGTACTTAAAGCCCCATTCCCGGCAAAATTTCAGTTTTTAAGAAAAATCTAATTTTTGTATAATGTTATAAAGATTTATAAATATAATACGGAATTGCTAGTTTAACTGAATTTAGACATTCCTAAGAATTAAAAAAAAATGTAAAATAAGACTGAAATTTGATTTTTTTGTGTTCCACACAAAAAATAAATGCGGATGAATTTTTCATGTTTGATTTTGTGATAGGCCGTGAGAAGAAATATCGTAGGCGCCGAAAACATTAGCCTATCCAACGCTGCTAGGCTAGGCCTAGCCTTACCTCGATTTAGGTTCTGTTATCACACATAAAAACGGCCGACATGATATTTCCCGTTGCTAGTATTGACACTTGTGAAATATAATATTTCATAGGAATTTCAAATTTGTTAAAAAACTGATTCTGACTGAGATTTTGACACTTAAACAAACATACCTCAGCCTAACCGAACGACCGCATTGTGCGAGATGCGAAGTACAAAAATTAATCTCATTAGAGAGGGCGCAATTTATTGACTGTATGAAGTATACATAAAAGCGAGAGTATTCCAGTGGATGCGATCTACAACTTCTGAATTTGCCTAGCAACGATGAATTCGTCGAGAGAATGGTAATATTTTATGAGAAGTGGTCTGTATTTCTCTTTTTTTTTTATTCTTTTGCGTAAAACTAAAATTCATGCCAATATTTTTCCATGATTTATAATAATTGGAGTAATGCAAATGCATATTTTCTAAAAAAAAGTCAGTTTTTAGTGATAGATGTGTATAAGAGACAGACACATAACCTTCACTAATGAGCATTTCCCGAAACAGTTCACCGTCTCTTGGACAAGCGAGTTTCATAGACCAACTGTAGATTTACCTCCCTATGTTCTGCGATGGTATTTTGGAATTGCAAGTGTTGAAGCACAAATTGTTCTTGGATCAGGTAGAGTTTTCCCAGTCAACTCAGAGTGTGTAACTTGTACTTAAGCCTTAAACCTTTTCAGATATGTAAATAATAAGAAAAAATCGATATGCGTATATCATATATAGAGGCTTCAATTAAGAACATACTACCCTGTAATCTAAGTATGTATTCAATAAATAAATTATAAATTATATATATATATATATATATATATATGTATATATATATGCAGATTTATTTATATTGGTCTACTATTGTTTATTTACAGGTGGCTCAATAACTGAACAAGTGGCTCAGCCTACCTGTAGCTCACGTGTCTCCAGAGATTTCCCAGTGCGTCGGCATGAATGTGAAGAAACTGTTCACCTCTCTTTAGAAGATCATCAAATTAAAACTGGTGATATGTGAGTCAACACACTTACTGTATTTGCGATTGTGTCAGTTATATATACGCTCTAATGTAGTTTCAATTTCACGTGCCAATCTTAGGACGAATGCATAATGACAAACAATTGTACGGTTATATCAGAGAACAGTTAAATATTATTGTCTTATTTGGGTGTATACTGTTCCGGCTGGGCCTTAGACACATATTTATCGTCCCACTTGTGAGTTGTGAGAGTAAATCCGGCTTGAGAGTTCAACATTCAAAGAGAAGAATTATACCAAGGCATCATCTAGAGATAGACTTAGAAGCAGTCTCCCAAAGGTGAGACTATGAAATATGATGATATACTTGAATAGACACTCGACATTTTTTACTTATATAATTTGGTGTCAATTGCTAACACAGAACGCAGAAAGCGGGAATGGATGGGGTTATTTATCAAAGCTCAATGTATTCTTATGCTGGTAGAATACTAACCAAAGTTTCAAATATAACTTTCAAATAATTGAGTCTCCACATAAGAAGTACAACATTAAGTCGACGCAGGAGACACATGCTCCTTCTGGAAACCTATATTTCTAACTTGCTGTAACAATCTGCTCTCTTAAATTAGCAAAGCAAAACAATCAGTGTTCGCAAATTGTTAATTAAACTCATAAACCATATAAAATTATTATTGACAATTAATACATCATGCCTTTTTGCTTACTGTATTTCAATTGATTTTAAACACACAATTTGAACTTTGAAAAAGCTTTGGACTATTAAATTTAGGGATCAAGGATCATTTCCTAAAAAAAAAAATTTAAAAAAATCCTAGATTTATCCGTTATTAAGCTATTGTAATCCCACATGTCAAATTAGACCATGGTTATTCCGCTCCACTTTGACATACAGAAGCTTGGTTAAGTGTATAGTTACGCCATGGAGATTCAAATTGGTCAAGTTGTAGAAAGTGTGGTGAACCTTTAATAGGCCTACACGCTATTCATGAAAATTGGTACAAGGGGAATTAGTATTCTATTTACACGTCAATCTATAATTTATGAAAAAAAAATGTTTGATGTAAAATATTTATATTACTTTGATAGTATTAGAGCAACAGTTCGAATAAGCACTGGTGGTAACCGTGTGATAATCAATCGTGATGCTGAAGACGAGTCACGCGAAACCTATAGAACTGATTATTTTCAAAATAGAGGAGGGCGTGCTGTTGATTATTTGACGTTTACTTTTGACCTTGATGATCCCTATCATTGCATAACGTCATACGAATGTCAGAGTACAATGCTACATCTGGAAAGCGATGTCACAACTGAGGCAAGTAACAATGTTAACAATATTAGTTACCAAAAACCAATTCATAATTTATTATGTTCAGAGTAGAATGTTGCAAATGTGTTATGATGAAAAGTATTTAATATTGTTTGAAGGTTTGCTTGGGGAAGTAATAATGTATATTAATACGTCATGCTGTACACCACGTA